AACAAGGCTGCTACAAGGCAGTAAGAGCTGCCAGGAAGCTAGCGCAATGACAGATCACCAAGATTCAAGCTAGCGAAAGATGCTAGAAGTTTGAAGAGAAAGCAGAGAAATCTTGTCTCTAGAGGTTGAGAAGACATTTACGATAACCGACTTGTATGGAACTTAATCTTATAATTTTCATATCTTTCTATTCGACAATGTTCTCTTTAACAACAGTTTCGCGCCAGGCTCGTCGAAATGGCAATTTTTCCAGATTATTGGGCGTAGTTAACAGCTTCGGGACAGACTTTAACTCATAGAAACCACAGATCGTGGAAAGTACAACGTGTGAAGATTTGCAAAGTATTTAAAATTATAAATGTGATTACTTTTTTTTTGTATTCATGTAAAACATTGATAGACTGTGAATTGTAAATAGTAAGATAATTTTTTCGAGCAGATGTTAGAAAATTAGTAGACAGCTACACTAGTAATAATTTAGGAAACTCCATGTGTAGACTAACGGTTAAAAATGTTTTGAAGTACTTTTCCGTTATCCGTACCCTGTTTGACCCTTTAGGACAAGCACAGTTTTCTAAGGTTTCTAAAGTTTCAGTAATCATTTATAGCTCAAATCATAACAATTGAAATGTGTATTTTATTTCAAAATGCTCCAATATCATTCTGAAATACCAAGAACAAAGTTTGATTCTCATCCAAATATATCTCGCTAAACAAAGCACTTCTTTAGACTTCCAAAAACTAATCGACTAGAACGATGTATTTGGTTTTTAAGAGCGGAACTTCCTTAATTGCTGTAACAACCAGAAGAAAATCAAGTTTTTCGCGAACTTGTGGATTATTTTCCGTCACCCGCATCATCCTTCGTGCGAACTCTTAGCAGAAAAACGCGCTTTGCTTGCTTTACGTCTTCATGTTTCAAGACAATTATACTAATAGGCTACCAATATCTCAAAGAATTCAATGGGTGATAGTCTTAGTTTCCTAATATGGCTTTAGTATTGCGCTGTAGCAGCAAAAAAACTAGACTTATGTTTATGTTCGGCTGAAACATAGCTTGTCCTGTACGGACTTTTAAGCAGTCATTCGGATTAGCTTGAATCTCGTCGATTCTAGTAATGCTTGGTCTGGAGCAGAACTTTTTAATACTTCGTGGCACTTAAGAGAGCCTTAAAGTTTAGTCGCCAGAGCAGCATAGGCATCAAAATCACTGTGCCTTTCCGCGGTATGTGAATATAGATTTCTCAACAAGAGAGCTAAACCAACGTGGTTTTTCCACTGTCCAGAGAATCGAAGGCCGATCTTCTCTTGATTGTGTACAGGCGCAACCTAATAAGTTCTTTTTCAGCGAACCAACATGCCTTATTATGAAATCAGGGCGAGATTTGATTTATCGAATATTCACTAAATTTCTAGAGAAGTAACCTTTTTTAATCAGTAGCTTTTGATTCACAGCTTACATTATCCCCAAGTAATCTTTCAACGCTGCTTACGTTAAGTCGCTGACCAGTTTTCAGGTGGAATACGTTAGGGCTTGGAACGACCGGTAAGGTCGAGAACAACACAGGTGGGCATCATGGGAGTCCGCTGTTATTTCCGTTTTTTCACCAACATCCCTCGACCTACTAATTCTATTGCTTACGCCCAAGCCATGCGATCATTCACTTGTGCTCAAAACCTGCGAGCTGGGGCGTTCATCATGATGAACTTCACGACCTGGACGGACGTTAGCTCGAGCATTTGGAACATTTTCGTTTCATCAAGCGTTGAATGGGGTAGTTCGGAACTCATTCCGTTTTCCTCATGGAACATCGTGCAACATCATCACAGTCATCAGTTCATCAATTTCAGTTTTCCGCCGACGGTGGCAATTGCCGAAAAGAAATTTGTTCCCCAAACGTATCCCCGACTGCACTCACATTACGCACCGCTCTGTTTCATAACATCTTTGTATCCCATCGATTCCGGCCTCATCACTTTTGGGTTGCAAAAAACAACCGTTAGGCAAAGGTAATTGGCCGTTTCTAAACCTTGTGACGAGTCCCTGAGGTGGGCACAGTAGGGTGGCCGTTGATAACTGATGGCAACAATCTTACATTTTCATTCTCTTCTGCGCACTATAATTGCAGGGCAAGTTCTCGTCAACCGGGATTATTGACGATAATTACACCCGATCTCCTTCATATCACACTGCAAAAAATCTATAAGGATCCTAGGAAGACGATCTTCCGCCATTCAAATCTGCCAAGGCGGGGAAGAAAATACTAAAAGTTTCTGAGCACTAATTTAGTTTTATTTCGTCAAAACACTCTTGAGACTATCATTTAACACATTGTATATTATACAATTCACAGACAAGAGATTGTGAAATGAATTGGGAAAAATAATAATGACCTTATAAGGTGTTCAAAGGCATTATGATGGTTCCTCCTCTCATCATTTTACAGGACACTTTCCCAAAAAAATTTCTGGTCAGAATTGAATTTCTAGCGGAATATTAGGTCAAGTATACAATCTGTTCTTCCTAGACGGGGCCCTTGGGCCTCACCTAAGACTTTGTGAACTGTATGTACAAGTATGGGAGAGACACCCATTGAAAAAACTGGGTAAAAATGTTTTGGTCTTAAACAGTGTAAGAGCCATTGTCACAGATAAGCTGAAGCCCAGAGTGACAGAAGACTTTCCGGGTGCTCGCTGCAACGGAATTTATAGTTTTATGGAGTGAATGGGTGAAATCAAAAATACTGAGTATGATTTAACATGCGAAAACTTGGACTTTCCTTTCACACGCGCAGCATTACCAGCTCAATGATCAGTTTAACCTTGATATCCTTAGATATCAACCATGAATAAAAAGGTTTGATAAACTAAAAACTGTATTCGGCTAACGCTTTTGACGTCTTCTTGTTCAGAGCCGATGACAAGGGTCTATTGTTCACAACCTTGTCCTCGTCGTTTGATTATAGTCTCCGTTGTCTGAAGAGGACGACTAAAGGGTTTTGCTGAAAAAGACAGCGTACTAAGATCTATTTTCAACCTCGCTGTGGTAGCGTTGAAAACATCTGACAGTATTTTTCCTGTTCAAATATTGGAAGGCCATATCCGTAAAAAAAGCCATAGGCATACGGCAGCGATTTGTGTACTGATGAGTGTTAGATATTTTCTTTCTTACTTTGATGGTTATTGATCCATCCTCACAGTGTTTTTCACGAGCGCAAATCGTTGTGTTATACATTCTAGCGTTTTTTCGTCACTTCTTGAACGTCGAGAATCATGGTTGAGGTCACTCACGGCCAGGTGTGCTTCAATTGTCAACACACAAATTAGTGTTACGAAATCATTAACGTTGCGACTATGGTAAACACCATCACAGTCCTTTTCATGATCCTTGCAGGCATCACTCTACGTAAAACACTTGAAATTGTGCAGTAGATTGAAATCCAGAGGACCAATCGGATAAGTGAGCCTTGTATTAGGAGTATTCATTTCGCCTTCTAAACAATCTAAGAAATATTGCTAGACTTGACTGATCAAACAAACTCAAACACCCCTTAAGAGCTAGGGATGCATTTGAGGAAAACAGAGGAAATCTTTACCCCATGCAGCGAGAAAATGAATGCCAAATGTGAATGACCAATGAGCTTTTATGAAAGGGTACACTGGGAAAATGACTGCTGCAATCCTCAATTGGAGTAGCTGAATTCTGATCTTGCTTCAATTTTTGAATCTGGTGACATAAAGTCTTCAATTTTCGTAAACATAAAATAATCGCAATCGAAAAATTCCGAAATTTCCACACCTGAGCGAAGATCTGTAAAAGAAGAAAATGCCTCGAAAAATGGGAACGCACAATTCTATCTTGCGAAACGTGTTTGTGTATCAAAGTTCTAGATAGAACCGCCAGATACTCGCACGCTGTTAGCTTTGACACGATCTCAGTAGCCTTTCACAGAGCGTACGCTCAGCAGAAATAGTCTGTAAACGGAGAGCCCAGTGATGCTCAAATCAAGGACCTTCTTATAGGAGTTTCATCGAAGTGTGGAGAAGTATGTTGGCGCTAATCGGATGACCGTCTAAGCCACGACAACACACAAACCTACCTGACGAAAGCTAACGGGGAAAACCATGTCAGAATTGGGCGAGAGGAAAAAGCACACACATTATATATATATGGTATAGATCTAGTGTCAGCCAGTAGAGATTATGTTATATACCACGCACACATATACGAAATGGAAAGTGCAATGAAAATAGTTAAGAACGCAAGGCACACGCACAGCTCGCCGCCAGAATACACTACACGCCCTATACACACTTCTTGAACGTTTCAGTTTCCAGCCTCTCTCAAGACTGCGCATCTTGCCATTAAACATGACACCTCCGACTCATGCCCAATCTCTTCTTCCTCCTCGAAATTTTATAGGTCGCACCGGATGCAAAAACAAAAAAATTTTAATTATGCACATTCTGTGCACTGAAGTTCTATCTTATTTGAACTGATGTCTCTTACAAATTTCCAGTACTCCCGTCCCACTTTTTGCAAAACTCCGAAAAGTTCGATCCATCAAAAATCCGAAGCAATATTATTCGTACTTGGTAAGACACAATCATTTGAATATGAACCATCTATTAATTCAGGTCCAAAGTGCATCAGGGGGAATTCAAACCCACAATAGCGCTCTACAGCACAAAATGTTCTGTCTCACAACAAAAACTTGTTGCTTTACGTACACGTTTGTTGAAAAACCAGTTTTGTATTCAACATGATTCTGGAGACTTTTGCACTGTGGTTATAGTGCCACCTGTTTGCAATTCTTAAAATCCTCGCTACATAGCACAACAAACTTGGTTTCTGAACATTAAAGAATTCATTACTGTGAGCTGCACCTCCAGCGAATTGGAAAAAAATTACTTTCAATGGAACTACCTTAGACTTTGCTCTATATCCTAAGAGTATTGAGTGGTGAACAAAAAAACACGCGGCCTCAGGCGTGATCCGTGCCTCGGTGGTGTAGTGGTTAGAGCACGCGTCCACGGATAGGATGAAGCGCGGGTTCGAATTTCGCTTGAGGCCGCGTTTTTGTTCACCACTCAATCTCTTAGGTATCAGAAACACATCATAACAACGCGAAATGCATTGAAATACTATCAATTCCGACTTCGCTCTGAAACAATAGAATCTGGTAACATCATATGAACCCTTCATAAGGTGTTATGACAGACGTCAAAACAAATTTCAAAGTATGTCATCAGATTATTTGTGGTTTTGAGCCGAGGTTCTTGACTTAGGCGGTTGAAAGGTATTGAGCCTGTCACATATGCCTGTGCAACAACCGTAAGCCAATGCAATCGACAAGAAACCACTCTGAATGAAATTCTCGATAATTGCTTCACCGTACGTCGAGTGTAAAAAATTCGCTGTCGATACTCCATATAGGGGGTATCCCGAGCAATTAACTGAACGAAAAGGCACCGTGCAGGTGACGAGGCTGGAAGCCGCACCGAAGCACGTGTTTAGCACTTTTATAAGTACTATAACTGACTTCATTAAAGTCTCAAAATATGTTGTGAATTAAAAAATGTTTTACAAAGCTTCTTTTCAGTGTAGGAATTTCGCCACAGTAGTAATAGGGCGTCATAGGATTGAAAGTTTCATTTGATTCTAAAGCGTACGCCAAAATCTCTTCACCATAAGTTAAGAATCTGCTTTGTCTATTTGGGGTGACAGAGCGGAAGCATAGTCAGTGCTGTATAATCATGGGCCTTGTTATGAGTTTTCTTTATGATGAATGCTTGAAGATTAATAAGCAGTTCCCGTGTTGTAGGCGTTCCGTGTCGTTGTAGTTGAATTTGAAACGAAGAACAGCTTCGCTATAGTGTTCTCTTCGGCACGTTCATTACAGTACTGTACTAAATCAGCGAATTGCGACCCCTTATTTTACAAAAGTACTTCACTGAAGTTCATACAGCATGAGTGTTTGCAACTTTATTCTGTGTGGTTTACCACCGCCTGTAGCCACCTGTCGTTTCGCAGCTGATCGTGCGTGCTACTCAAGCAGGAGCCTGTTAGCTTTTCCTCCTGTTTGCGTGCAAAAGTCCGAGTGCGATCCTCCTTCGCACGCAGAGATTATGAAAATTTTGTGATATTTACATCCTTGCATGATAGCTGTTCGTAAAGTATTCAAAACAAATCAGGTGGTTTTTTTGGTGTGCGTATAGATAATCCGCGAAAATTCGGTCAGTTACGGCTTTCCAGTAATCGTTTCTCGCTAAAAACCGCATTTTGTATTCTGTGCTGACTCATCTTCGAAAAGCTCAGAGTTCAAAACGACGTCCTCGGTCGTTCTCGCTAGTCAGATCTTCAACATGGCTTTCTCCATCTGCGAGATATGAGATACGGGTACTACTTGTGTCAAGCATTCGATCGTACCTTCGCTAACGCCAAGTGATCTTTTCATGATGACCTCGTTCGACCAGATTTCTGAGGCATATGTGAGATAATCGTTGAGTCAAAAAAGGTGGACACGGTGTCGAGAAATCTTCGTTCTCTTACACTATATCACCGGTGGTCCTAAACACTCCTAAGAATTCGCTTTTTCGTATTCAACTCCGAGCTAAGTGATTCATCATACTAATTTCTTGACCTCTACGCACGTTTATTGAAGTATTCGGAGATGGTGCTTTCGTTGAGCGTAAATAGACATTCGAAACCAGTCGGAATCGTCCAATCTTTCCACAAGCATTGTCGAAATCGGCCACACATTCGTTTTTCTTGGCTGATGCTTGGCGCTATCAAAACTATTTTTCTTCACCGAAAGCAAATACTGTGTAATTTCGACCTCACATTTCACTCTCATTCTGTCTGCTGTCTGTATGCTCATGCCAATGCTCACATAACGTTCGAAATGTGGCTGGAAAATAATTTTAGTGGTAATGTATCGCCTTGTGAGAATCCCCTCTCTTACGACGACATTAATGTCGTTAGATTATGAAAAGCCTATAATTCTTCAATTTAACTGCTTTCTAGCAGTGGTATGATATCATAATATTTATCTAAGAGAATGAGTGACACGCAAAGCTCACCTTAAGCTGTATTAGACCTGCCTTTCACCTTTAATAAGGCACGTGCTTCATTTTATCACCAAGGCCACCCTTTCGCGATCACTCTCCTTCGATATGAACATTTGAAGCTGTCTGTAGCTAGCCTATAACGTGTTTGGTCTGGTAAGCACATTTTGACTTTGGACCCAATTGAGGCGACAACTTTTTCTTTCTTTTCGAGTATTTTTGGAACCCTCGGTGAAACCAATATGATCAGTCCGGCGTCGATTCCTCTATGTAGAGGATATCTGCCTGCTAATGGAACTGGAACTAATTGGCCGTGAAAGGCACCGTGAAATGAGGAGGCTGCAATGCCGAAACACGTGTCTTGCACTGCATAAATATCATAGAAAAACCTCATGAAAGGATTAGAATATGCTATTAGATTATCTTTTTCTTCATATTGGATTGGTGCAAATGTAACGCGGTTTTAGACGGAGCAGAAGCTGCAGTTACTTTAGAAATTTACTTCAAAGGATGGCGATGGTAGAGAATGGTCGACAATGAATTCTTGTGCAACATCTCCTGTAAGTTTAATGGGATTAGCTTCGATGAGTGCCCTAAGTAATTTCTTTTTCTCTAAAATACGTCTCTTATCTTCAAAGCGCCGTCTATTTTTACGAAGTTTCTTGAAAATCCAAGGCCACTTTACGTTCCTTAGCAGTTCTTGAGTCAAATGCATGCTGATAGTGCAAGTTATCTTGGCTGCCTTACGACCACATTTTGAACTCGAATGAGAATTTTACTCAAGCTTGCTTCTTATCTAACATCCTTTCCATAGTCCAAGGATAAATGTGAAATAAAAGCAAAGTAATACGTCATTAGCCAAGAAAAACGAAACATACAGCAAGAAATGCTCACTGAAAGGATGTATGACATAGCCGCATCTACTTCAGAATGTATCTCAAAATAAAATGATTCAAATCTCACAATCTAAAATCACTATTCTTTTTGCAGCAGCGCCTAATATATAACAAGGAGCGGTGATTACTATGAAGTCTCGTTTTTGGAAAATCTTTTGATGCATGAATACTAAGGTTCTTCAGCAACAGTTCTTGAGTAGAAAAAACTTTTTTTTGTCGGCAGACTAAATTGATTTCAAAAGGTATTACCACGAGGCTCACCTCTGTAATCGGAAGGAATATTATTACCTCATGATTAGAAATTGATGATTGTCTACGCGCTTGGTTCATTTTCGGATTACGTGGGCGAACTTTTTGATGTTGAAAGAGTACATTGATTACTCCTTCTAGCTTAACAACTAAATTTCCATGCCTAAACATAAGGTAGTTGTGCCTACGACAAGACATCATGCCTTATTGCAGTTGTTCACCCTTCACCCAACCTCCTGACTGCTCTTACTTTTGATTCTGCATTCAAGTCTTTCTTGGTGAGATTCATCTTCCGTACGACTCTCTAACCTTTATGAAATTCTGCAAAACTCTTATGTTAGGTATCAGTCGCAGTCCATCGTCAACGTAGGTGATTTCGTGTGGGCTTGAATACAAAAGTTAATTCGAATGCATTTCTCCTCTAAATTTTTTAAACCAAAAACTGGTAAGACTTGCGCTTCGCTTTGCCGCTCATTATTTTCCCTAAAAGATGTTCTCTCTGTGAATAGTTATAGTTATAAAAGTTATGATTTCGGCGTGTTTGTCGATACGAATGTTTTGATCTTGGAAAACCGAAGTTTTGTGTCCGCAGTATTATAAGTGAGATAGAGATGGTGGGAACTAAATTTAAGCCGCGCTACTTTAGAAATTGTTATGTTTAGTGAAATTTCTGTTTGCATGGATACTTCTGCATCCATCTTATTGCCATTTGTCATATGACGCGCATTCGACCTCATTGACCGATTCTTGCGTAAATAGTCACTAAACTTGCTTCGTAAGATTCTGCCTTGAATTGAAATGAGAAACCATAGAGAGATTCTGGAAAATTCAACGAGTAGTCAAGATACACGTTACCTATGTGATAAGTGCTAAGTGCCAAATTCGGTATCCTTGTGAGCCACCTAATGCAAAAACTGGGAGATATGATTCAGCTGTATCTGCAATAACTGCTTAGATATCAGGATACAAAAATGAATTTTTTTATGACTAGGGAAAATTTCTGCGGCTTAGACATTTAATGCCAAAATCTTTTGCATCTACTGATATTCCGTAGAAGTGCAGTTGCAATTTCGGCGTTTTGTCATTTGAGAGTTCTTTGTTTTTGAGGCTGTAATGACGTAATGAGCCTATACATTTTTGTTACCTGGGGTTCGCTACCCAGAAAAAGAAGGCAGCTATTTTTGATAGAATATTTTGAATTCAAGAATCCGCCTGTAAAATCTTCGAAAACGAAGGAAAATTTGAGGACCGTCCTTGAAAAGGTTGTTTAGCCGCCTGTCTACGCCACAAAACATTTAGAAGATCCGTCGCCAAGTTTCAACGAAATCCAGAGCGTTCGATGGCGTTTAAATGGCTCGGCAAGCTCGGGATCAGCGGGCCAGAGCGTCCGAAACATTGTGAAATTGAGCTGAAGCTGCGCAGCTGCAATATTGCTCGGGTTTTCTTTGTGGACAAAAGTTAAAAGAAGAACGGGTACTCATTTATTTCATCACTGCGTTTGTCTGTCCGAGGTGCTTTTCACAATGAAAATAATTAAATCACCCCCGCGATTGCCATAACCGGCGTCAACTTTCTAAGGATCAGTAGAAGGACCGCAGTAGCAAAATCATGGGGCGCAGTCATTTTGCAGCCTCTGTGATGGTCTCCGCCGGCATTTGCGCCACCGGAAAAGACGCCATTGATTGCTCTTCATCAACAGAAATGTCAAAATCAACCCAGTTCAAATATTCAGCAGCAAGTTTCACGGGGCCCGTACTGCAGCTCTGGGCTATTTATTGCTCTGACGTCGGACGGGACTTACGCTTCAACAGGACTGGGCTCCACGCATTCGGCCCGCTCTAGGACTGCCATCTGTCACAGA